TCCTTCACTTTAAATCGATCCATCTGATGGGTTTCCTCTGCATCATGGCACAGCCGGCACACATATAGCTTACCACAGCACGGTGCCTGTAGTGGATGGAAATGTTATTGTAAAGATGAATCCGTGAATTATTAATAAGTGAATTATCCTTTAACGTTATTTAAGAGTTTAAGAACGACTGCATCTGAATTACAGTGAAACAGATTAGTAAGTCCTAAATCTCCACTTTCATTTACAGACCTAAAAAAACATGCTCAAGCAATCATAAAGACGTTTAAACTTACTTTTAACAAACAGTTGCGAACGTAATGCTCACAGCCCGCGGGAGTCGCCATGTTTCCTGCAGAAACGTCGTCTCTTCTTCTTCGTGGCCTACGATTCGATGAGGCTTCCGCCATTTCTTTCTTCTGCTTGTTTTAAACGGATGTGATTAGACAACACTGCCCCTTCGGCAAAGTAGTTTTATTTCAGCGCAGCGATTTTCGGCTTCCCCTTTATAATATGAAATACTGAACATTATGTTAGCATATATACAATTACCAAAATAGAATAAATTGGCTCAGTTAAATGATAACTCGGCTCAGCTCAGCTAGATGAAAACTGCTCAAATTCGCTACAATGCAGCCACAGAAATAAAAAGCGAAACTCGGGCACAATTTCTGTATATAAATAATAGCTAGGAGTAAATGCCTTTAACACATGAAACACTCTTAAAGACACACTCAGAAGTTAATGTTTTCTTTAGCAACAACCACCTACCTCAAGTACGGTTGAATATGTAAATCAATACACTGAACGTTCCACAGGCAAATTGTAGATCATTTAAGATCGACTTCTCTGCTGTTGTGGGCGTGAGCGCCGCTGGTGTAGTGGTATCATGCAAGATTCCCATTCTTGCGACCCGGGTTCGATTCCCGGGCGGCGCACTCCTTTTTCAATTTATGTTTTGAACATATGGAACTATATTCTGCCATACAGAAACAGAGCAGCTGTTAATTATCTTGAACTTATGGCCACCCTTTTTATTTTTTCAGAAACGGCGTTTGAGCCTTTCAATGAGCTGGTTGGAAAGTGAAATCAACACAACACAATAAGGCCCTAAAACGAGTTACTTCTTTGAAGATAAAAGCAAAGCCGTGCGTCATGTTTTTGTGCAAAAAACATGACGCACGGTCATTAAAATAAATCGCCAATATTTTATTTTGTACATATAAGTGTAAATAGTGTTTGCCCTATAGAAACAGAAGTGAGCGAATGTATGAGCAGTGCTCTATTTCTGACGCTGCTGCTGACGCTGCTTCTCCGCCATCTTCAACTTCCTATTGTTTGCAGCAGACTGAGGCTGTCTGCCGTGTATTTGCAAGTAAGAGCGAGTAAGAGACATACTGTGAGTGTGTACGTGTGTGTGTAAGAGAAAGAGACGAATCGGTTGTGATACTGACATTGTTAATAGTTCGTACTTATAACTTGCTACTTTGGAGGTCGACAAAATTCAGAGGAAACATAATTCTGCGTATATCACTGGACTAAATAAAGGCATCTCCCGCTTAGAAGGCATTCACCGATGATGGAGGACGAGCAGCCCAGAACCCTGTAAGTAGCAGAGGGCCCCTTCTATGTCTTGAATTGGGAAACGATGTCTATATATGTTGTGTCTCTATTTATCCACGTTGTTATTGTTTTACATTTATTGTACTTTAGGCCAATGTGGTAATTAGACTGCAAACACAGTCTTCTAGACACCATCCACGTTCACAAAGCCGGCGTATTTTACTAGCCACGTTATTTGTAGATTTATAGTTTAAAAAACCATATAAATGGCCGTGAGTTCATGCAATTTATCATTAGCCATATTTTCCTACTTTGCTAAAAAAAACGTCGGCACGGATAGCAAACGTGATTGATTGTGGTTATTTGTTGTCTAATGTGGCGAACAAAATACGAATAAAACATTTCTGGCTTGTGGATTTTATAATTTAAATCCCGGTTATTTTTTTAAACATGTTTCAACCTGAGGCCCCGTTTGAACCGGTTAGCTCACTCATTAGCCGAGCTACAGGAAAGCCACGTCAACGCTCGTTAAAACGGCATAGACAAGCACATTTTAAATGCTCACCACATTTTCTGGGTTTTGTGATTACCACAGACAATGTTTTCTTCATATTTAGCTAATTTCTTTTATTTTTATTTTTAAATGGAGAGTTGTGTAGTGCTGCTGCTAGCTGTAATAGCTAGCCTTTGTTTGCAAGTTACTTCCGGTTTGCCATCAACATTCTCGTTCTCAGGGTCTCTTTGTTTTTTTTCCAGGTATGTGGGGAATCTGTCTAGGGAGGTCACCGAGCCCTTAATCCTTCAGGTCTTTACACAGATGGGGCCATGCAAGAGCTGCAAAATGATAGTCGACGTAAGAATGTTTGTGGTTTAATACTTAGGCACATGTATTCATGATGGACAACAAAGTTAAGTTTCAAAGAGGGCAGGAAGTGAAGTAATTTATGTGCTTTCGTTAATAAACAAGCGAAATAATAACAGCAGAGAATAATGTAATTCCTATCACCTTTTTACAATTGATTTGCAGCTAATTTGTTAAACACTGCTTAAACAAAGTTTTTCAAATGATTACCAGACATAAATGTCTAGTTATACAAATCTGTACAATATTCAAGGGACATGACGTCAGAAGGCAACAGGCGTTTTATAGATAGCCCTCACGATGGTCAGGTTACAATCAGGTATCACAACAGAAATTCACTGGTTCAGTGTTGCAGCTCAAAAGGTGTCTTAAGGCAGTTTGGAGGAGGATCAGAAAGTTGTTTGGTTAAGTTGAGTGTAAGAGTCAAGCATCTCTCATTCTAGATGTATACAAGTTTTCTTCTTGGTTGTTCCATTTGGGCCCATTGTGTCACATCACAACAAAGTAATAAAATACTCACCTATGTTGTACCTAAATATTAGTGTTTTCCTGTCAACAGGCAGCTGGAAATGACCCATACTGCTTTGTGGAGTTCTATGACCACAGACATGCAGCTGCTTCAATGGCAGCTATAAATGGAAGGAAAATAATGGGTAAGGTAAGCTATCGTATCTACAGGGTGAGTGGGGATGGGTGGGCTTTGGTGTGGGAGGAAGGTTTTGTGTGCATGAACCATATGAAAGAGATATCTGGACAAAAATATGCATTGGAGCGACAGAATCAGCCAGAGTTGTAGCTTTGCCAACATTTGCTTCGGAAAAGATTACAATCAATAATGTATGCTTTCTCTAATAAACTATAAATCATTGGTTGTGATACACCAAAGTTTGCACTGGTCCAGGTGTAGAGTAGAAAATGAGTGTTTTTTTTCTCTCTAGCATTTTGACAGAGATAATTAAGCAGAGCATGATACAGATTAAAAGTCAGCCAAGAAATTGAATGAATCACACTGAACCGTATACCTGTCCTAGGCCGATAATAGTTTAAAGTAATTTCCAGTAGCTATTTATTTCAAGCACTGTAGTGGAAAATCAAATTTTTATAGTATTGAACTTCATAATTACTCTGCAAGACAGGGTCAGGGAGTGGTTGAATTTCTTTTAAGTGTAAGGTTTGGATACAGATTTATGGAAAGCAAGCCATGTGATTGTCAGCTGCAATGAGAAAGATGGCCTCAACATTCAGCATTTTGAATCAAGTAGAACACTTCTGGCGTTCTTTTGAGCAGGTTGCATCTTTGTAGAAATGGATAGATGGGGTGGTCCTTGCCTCGTACACGTAAATAAACTGTTAATGATGCAAACATACCCCACCTTTGTTTTTCTCTGTCCTTCTCTACAGGAAGTGAAAGTCAATTGGGCCACAACACCAACCAGCCAGAAAAAAGACACAAGTAGTAAGTATGGTTGTAGAACTGTAGGACTACAACCTATGAACATATCAGACTTGCATTTGGCAAAAATGGTCAAATACTTGCACATTTTCATGGTCTTCATAATTTCCAGTAAATCTTTTTATTATTCATAATAATAGAATCATCAAGTCCTTTTATGGTAGATACTCCGTTAAAAGAAAAAGCTCAAAACCTGTAAAATGTGCCTACACACTACAAGTAATGTTCAAAACCATTTCTGACTTTCTAGATCACTTTCATGTCTTTGTCGGAGACCTCAGTCCAGAAATAACTACAGAAGATGTCAGGGCTGCCTTCGGTCCGTTTGGCAGGATATCGTAAGTATAAAGCTGGTCTTTAACAACTAACATAGCTGGCCCACAGGAATGGCTAAAATCCAAGGTGTATTAACTATTTTTAATTTTACAGATTCAATAAAATCTTAATTTTTTATGTCTTTTGTCTTCCTTTTACTTGTTTTTTTCCCCTGTTATTTGCCTAAATAGGTTTTTATTCACAAAGTCTTTTAAAACCCTTTTATGTTTGTGGTGTTCTGCCATTTGAGGTGTGTTGACTTCTGTGCGTTTGTCCACAGAGATGCTCGTGTTGTCAAAGATATGGCTACAGGAAAATCTAAAGGCTATGGCTTTGTGTCTTTCTTCAACAAATGGGTGAGTTTGCATCAGTGTCAGTCAGTGTAGAGAAGTTGTTTGAGGTTTTCTTCCTCCTTGGTATTCTGCTTCATCATTCTGTTTGAGGTGCAGTGAATACATTAATTTCACAATTTATAATAATTAATGTGATATTTCTTAAAAGACATATACAGTCACCTTTGTTCTCTCATTGGGTTCCTAATTGTGTTCTTTGCAAAATTGAACAAACTGCAATTTATTTTTCCTCCAGGATGCAGAGAATGCCATTCAGCAAATGGGCGGTCAATGGTTAGGTGGTAGACAGATCCGAACTAACTGGGCCACAAGAAAACCTCCTGCTCCAAAGGCTACTTATGAAAGTATGTTGACATGCATTTTTAGTTTTTATTTGTGGTTTGAAAAATGGTCAAAACATAATGTTGATTTGATTTTTTTTTTCCAGGTAACTCCAAGCCACTATCTTTTGATGAAGTAGTCAATCAATCCAGTCCTAGTAACTGCACTGTCTACTGTGGTGGAGTTAGCGCAGGACTGACAGGTAAATGCACAATTTTAAATGTGAAATATAGTTTTCCAAAGACACAACCAAAAAACCTTGTTGAGCCCCATTTAATGTATCCTACAGATATTTAACATTGAAAGAGTTCAACTGCATTCACCTTCCTACAAAAGGTCATGGTTTAGTTGTTTGGCTGTTTTGAAACATGAGGATTTCATGAAAGAAGGATGGGTATTTTATGATGTATGATTTTTCATAACCTTCCGCTGGAAGGTTATGCCTCCGCTGCCTCCGTGACCCAGTAACGGATAAGTGGATGAAAATGGATGGATGGATGGATGATTTTCCATAAAGACACATGCAGGATTCAGGCGTGCTAAATATCCTTATGTATGCTCAATAAATGTGTTAAACTGCGTGATTTCCTTAAAATGGCCATGCATGTATTTTGCATAGAGAATTTCACGCTGTTTCCTTTTTTACACAAACACTGAATACACCACTTGTGTTTAGTAAATGGTGGTCTTAAATTTTTCCATGGACATCACATGGTGAAAAGCTGTGTTTATTGGGCTTGGAAAAAAAATACAACACCCCCAAGAGCTCAATATCTTATATTCCTTTTCTATTTGAATTCTAGAACAACTGATGAGACAGACCTTCTCTGCCTTTGGGCCAATCATGGAGATCAGAGTTTTCCCAGATAAAGGCTATTCATTTGTCAGGTATGTGACAGTTTCTTCACTTGATCAACATTGTCTTTGTGTGCTGTAGACCTCCTGCCTGGTACCAGGAGGCTCATGGTGTGAAACACCCAGTCTCTGAAGCCCATGTTGGGTTGCATTATGAAGGGTGTTAGGTGTAAAAATTTGATAAATCATCTTCATCTTCCTTCATACTTACAATATAACACATTTATTCTAGTGCTATATGCTGCCTAATCATTAGTTCGCACCAACAGCTGTTACAAGGCACAAAATGAGCTTCAATAATTAATGTGCATCTTTTTATGGGTGAAGGTTTAACTCCCATGAATCAGCTGCCCAGGCCATAGTTGCTGTAAATGGCACTTCAATAGAGGGCCACGTAGTAAAATGCTACTGGGGTAAAGAGACTCCTGACATGATGAACCAAATTCAACAGATGCCAATGCCTCAGGTAAAAACTAACTTTTCTGTGCTTCATAAAAATAAGAAGCATGAACTCGCTCATTTTCTACACCAATCATTCAAATATCTGTCCAATTTACTGAATGACCTGTAGACATTTCTTTTACTGCTTTTACTTACAGCAGAACAAAGTGAACTATGCTGCGGCCCAGCCTTATGGCCAGTGGGGCCAGTGGTATGGCAATGGGCCCCAGATTAACCAGTACGTCCCTAATGGGTGGCAGGTCCCCACCTACAGCGTCTACAGCCAGGCCTGGAATCAGCAGGGCTTTAAGTAAGTAGTACCATGCTCTCAGAGCCCCTTCCAACATCTTCATCTTCAAGCCCAGAATTCCCTTCCAAGATCCCAGCAGCAAGAGCCAAGTCAGGCCAGAGGAGGGCGCTCCAAGTCCTCTCCCTTATCCCTTTTCACTTAAAGGTTCTTGAGAAGAACTTTCTCAGCTCCTCTTTAGATTAGCTTGAGCTCATCCTATTAAATAAAAATGTTTAAGTCAGGATGTTGAATTTTTGCCTTCAAAATCTTCTTCCGTATTGGCTTTCCCAATATAGTTTAAGATTCCCAAGCTATAGTATGATTTTTATATGATGAGAAAATTATACATTCATATCCATACCCAGGGATTGTTAATGAATGAAACATTAATTTTCCCTTTCCCTATCTGTTAGAATTATCTTGAAAGACTCATAGTGTCTTTTTGTCTTTTGATACCTTGTGTTTTCTGACAATTTATTTTTATTGTGGTCTGTATTTGAATGCAAGTGGACAGCATGAGATTTCTATACAGGTATTTTGTATTGTCATTGTTTAGATCACCCATGTGCAGGAATGTTTTGTACACTGAAGAAATAATAAAACAAAAGCCATAAAATTATGGTAAGAAAGTGATGAAAAGTCTGTTTAAAGGTGTAAGGTAGCTCTAACTATGGTTCGTGACCTTCTAAAGCAGAGGACAGGTCTCTCTCAACTTTGAATATGAAGCCTAATCCTGTGTAAGCTGTCTGTGAGTTTACTTTTGTCACAAAGTCAAACATTTGAAACTTAAATTTGTGTTAAAGCCAATTATGCCTAAGAGCTTCAGAAGAAGATGATTTTCCGTCCTGTAGAGGGCACTGTAATTTTAAACAAAATGGGCTGTTTTGTTTTGCTGTCGAAAAATGTAAAAAATATTTTTGAAACTAGCTTTCTATTGTCCCAGAGGGTAAAAGTAGGTCAGAATTATAGTTAAGGGTTAACAAACATGATCAGAAACATCTGTCTTACAACTCTTGACTTGCCCTCTGATGTAACACCGGACCAGACAGAAGCAGCCTTTATTTTTTCTAAACCATAGTCAGATTAGAGCACCTCGTTGCAGCAAAAATAATTCCGAATTCTGTTGTCAATCTGTCATCACGTTTTGTGAGTTTTAAAAGCCGTCTGTATGAAAGGTTTGTAAGCTACAGCCTTGAACAGCAACATTTGATTACTTTTAGTCTGACTCATGTTCATTTCCATAAGAGAGTTGGCAGACTGATGTCTGATGTTAAGCTTTTATATTCACATCTTCAGGTCAGGTTTGAGTAGTAAAATGTAGCTCACTGCTCTAAGCCTGTATGCTTTGCCTACCTTTTCACTTGAAATTAATAACTGAACCCTAATTTTTGACCCTGATAAGACTCATCAACTTTTTTATTTATATGTTTTTTTATCCAAGCTGCCTTAACCTGCCAACTTCTGACAGCTCTGCCACCTTGTTCTTATAAACTGGTCCTTTGGCTCCTTTTCACCTTGTCTCTTCTAACCTGCTGGCATTTTGTTTCTTTATCCANNNNCCCTGTTCCTTGTCTTTTGCAGTCACTTATCGGCCAGTGCTGGGTGGACTGGCATGAGCACCATCAGTAACGGTGGGGTCATGGAGCCTACACAGGGATTGAATGGAAGTATGCTAGCCAACCAGCCCGGTATGGGAGCTGCAGGATACCCCACACACTGATATGTAGCTGGGGCCCTGACATCTGTCAACCATCAGCCTCTTTTTTGGCTGTACTGAGCCCGGCAGGGCTGTGTAACACCGCCTTCACTTGTGGCAGGACTAGGACTTTAACTGGGATGTGGAACCTGACAGGAAGATTGGCATCAAAAGGAGATGTAAATGG